AGACAGGGTTTCTCTGTGTAGTCCTGGCTGTCCTGGAACTCACTCTGTAGACCAGGCTGGCCTCGAACTCAGAAATTCGCCTGCCTCTGCCTCCTAAGTGCTGGGATTAAAGGCTTGCGCCACCACCGCCCGGCCTTACACACCTTTCCTAATTTTGCCCCTTTTCAACATGTAGGACAATGCTGTCCTTTCCATCTCCTTCTTCCTTCCCCATTGGTCTTAATTGTTCTTTCTTACAATTAAAATACTACTTCCTCCACGACGCTGTAGTTGTCACCTCCCATTCCTTGTGCTCCCAGTATGCTCTGAGCATTGGGCAACTATGCAGTTACTGCATTTTACTGACAATTGTCTTCTCTGGAATGTTTTTGCCCTGTTCCTGGAAGGCAAAGCCTTTGTCTGAAGAGTTTTAGAAGCCCAAGATAGAATAGGTGCTGGAAACAGGTTTATGGAGTGTTGCTTTCTGGGTTTGTATCTATGAGGATCCCTTTGTTCAGGAAGGACTGCTGGGTGGGAGCCAAGCCGATGGGAGAGGGGCCTGGGCCCTCTGGAGACTGACCCTGAGGCTTCGAATCCAGGAGTGGGGGAGGAGGTGAGGAGGGCAGGTGTGGGAGAACACAGGGGCCTTCATGGCCACAGCTGCAGTGAAGAGTGAGAGGCCAGGGTGATAAGGTGGCCAGCGGATGCTTCTCTCAGATGTGTCTCAGAGAGAACCTGCTCCTCCCACCTGCCTCGGCCCCTCTCTTTCTATTTCTGACACTTAATTCCTTTGGTCTGAGCCCAGGCTGACTTTCACATGGTCTCTTTGCCTCTGCTTATGCGTCTGCCCTAACACAGCCCTCCCAGCTTGGGCTAGTGAGGAGATCTTGTTGGATGGTTAGCTTGAGGGTCTTGACATTTTCTACTCTACCTCCCCATTAGAGCAGGGTTCTCCAGGACTGGTGTCTAGGCCCTGCTTTGCTGCCCTTCCTCTTCCCCTTCCTTCTCAGAGGATGGTGGCCAGGCTAGAAACTCCATGGGTGGCCAGAAAAGCAGTGTGACCTACCACAGCCATTTCTACAATCTAGTTGTGCTCAGGATAGGGGCTAAGAGGTCTCTGAGGTCTTGGTTGTCCAGGTCACTAAAAGAGGGTACTGGAGGAGAGTGACCCAGGCCTTGGATTTGCTCAGGGACCAACCAGGCTGCTGGTTCCAAAGAAGTTTTTTCTTTCACCTTTCTTTCCTGCTCCACCTCCTCCCAGTGCAATGCAAGATTTCTATTTTTAATTTTTCTTGTTTAGTTTTGAGACAGGGTCTTGCTATGTAGCAAATGCATGCCTTCTAAACTCTGCCGCCAGCCTCTGTGTATTTCTCCAATGTAACCATATCTTTGTGAATCACAGAACCCCAGATTCCAGGACACTGGCCAGGCTCTCTTGAGGTCATCTTGTTCAGCCCCTGCCTCCAGGCTCTCCAACCTATGCAAGAACCCTGTCCAGAGAATGAAGGCAGGAGAGAGACTTTGGCTCCCAGGTTACCAGATTGCCCTCCTCCTCTGCTCCCCGCTCCCCTCTCCACAACGTTTGATCTGTCTTTATTTATACCTCCATCAGTGGATGTAGAAAATAGCACACTCTCCCAGAAAAGCCAAATGGATCGTCTCCCTTCTTCTCTCTTCCTCTTTCCTCTCACTGTTTTATATTTTCTGTGAAAGAAACTTATCTGCCCCCACCCCTTCTCCCACCCCCCCTCCCCGCGTCCCTGTCCACTAGGAAGAAGCCGCCCAATCTGCCCTAGCCATCCCACTTTGCTCCCTCCTTATGGAAAAACAGCCAGAGCTAAAGGTTAAGGACAGCCTCACTGCTGACCCCACAGGGAAACAGGGAAAGGACCAGATCTCTTCCTGACTCTCAGGTTTTCTAGTTACCCTCTGCCATACCTTTGTGTGTGTCCATGCTGGTCCCGGTCATTAGGCCATCCTGTCTTGATCTGGGGCCCCTGACCCTTCCTGGTCAATGCTGATGCTGGCTCTCATCAAGCTCCAGAGTAGGGATGGCTTGGGGGTGGGGTAGCTATCCAATCCCTTCCCAGGCCTCAGCCTTGGCAGCTTCCCCTTCAGAGAGACAATGAGGCTGTGAGCAGAAAAGGGCAGGGGCAAAAGGAGGCTGGCTTGATCCCGGCCAGAGCATGCCCTGGGCCCACCAGAGTCCTGGCGCTGTGACATTTCCTGGGGGCGAGACTCCCTCCTGCCCTGTTCTCATCTGAAGCCAGGAGTTGGTGGCTGGAGGTCAGAGGGAGGCCCCATCACCAGGGCCCTGCAAGGGGGATTCCAGAATGTGTACTTTGATGGGGAAGTGCAGCTGAGGAGGGAATGGGGCAGGGCAGCAGCCAGCCCTGGCCAGCCAGCAGGAGGCTGGGGGGAACCAGACGCTTGCTCTCTGCAGACCTGTGAGAGCGCCCCCTAGCCCAGTATTTCTTTCCTGGACAGCTGGGAGCTTGTGAAGAGAACTGTGGCCAGAGGGAGGCATCTTTGGCTGGTTCTACCAGCTCCAAGCCCTCTGTTTAATCTGGAATTTGATCTAGAAAGGACTGAGACATAACCTTGTCTGTTATGGTCACTGGTGAGTATAGAAGGTCCAGGGACAGGAGGGGATTTGTCCAGTGCTAAGTCTGCATGTTGGGAGACAGTGGGGCTGTGAGTCCTGCTCCTTTCAGTGTGCAGTGAGGGTGGGAATCCAGATGAGGGCCAGGGCCTACACAGGTCCCGTTGCTCTCCATCCACCCTCAGACGGGTACTCTCCACTCTACAAGAGCAGAAGGTACGACAGCTGGTGTCCAGTGAACAGCATCGGCCCCAGAGCTTTGGCCAGTGGGAAGAAACCCTTTTGCCTAGTGAAGTCTGTCTGGGAGGAGAATGCCCTGCCTCTTGGGAAAAAAAAAAAGTGATGGAGACGGAAATGAGAGGGAAGACACGGGGAACCAAATTTCTTCTGTGTGGGGAAGGGGAATGGGGGCCACAGGTGGGCCGTGGTGAGGCAGGGGTTAATAGAGCCGGGGCATCATTGGCTTTGATGTGGTGGTTTGGGGTGGGGGTAGGGACTGGGGGAGGGGAGCAGTAATTACCGAGTTTGGAGTTAGACAGAGCAGGACAGGACAGGCGGGCGGGCACAGGCCCGGCAGCCTCAGCAGCCGTCAGGCAACATTTTTCTGCCCCCTTTCCACCATCCACCTCCCCCACCCTCACCCACAGCCCCAGGGCTCAGAGCTCCCTCTGCTGGTTCCTAGGAGGTGGGGTCAATTGAAGTATCTTGGGGGATAAGGAGTCCGGGCAGGGATAGAGAGGCAGGCATGCTTGCTGTGAAACTTTCCAAGGAGGTGAAGAAGCACTCACTCACGAGGCGTGTGGTCCCTTTGGCCTCAGTGAGCCAGCTGGACAAGGTGAGGCTCCTAGAGGGTGCTCTGGTCCCTCGGTGGGCTGACTTGAGAAGGAGACCTAGATCCAGACTGGACTGGAAAGACAGTGTTGGAGAAGGAACATTCTCGGGACTCCACACATACCACCTACATCCTTACTATTTGCCCTGCGTGAGCAGGCCTGAGAATACAAGCTCTTGCTAGAATCCACTTTCTGCACAGGCCATTATACACGGAGGGAGGGCACTATGATCTCCATCTTCCTGCTGAGGAACTGGGGTTTAACTTTTATCATCTGTCCAACAAATACTAAGTGTGTTTCATGTGCCAGGGGCTCATCCCATATCACACAAGCAAATGGCAGACCCCCCCAGATCCATCCCAAGCCTGCATCCCTAAGGCCCTGAGTGTGCTCCACTTATGACATGATGCGTATTTGTGAGATTCCTGTCTTTGATGAGACTTCAACCTAATTGAGGAGACGAGACAAGCAGTCACGGTGGCAGGACACACTCAAATGGGTGACAGCTAAAGGATGCTGCTGGGCCAGGACTGGTGCTCCTGGGGACAAGTGAGGTCAAGTGGAGAGACGCTGGCTAAGCATGTCTTGATGGCTTACAATTGCAGAGGACGTGGCCCTGAGTCTAGAAATGTAGAGGTGTGGCCTGGGATGGAGTCAAAGGCCTGACAGCAGCGGTGCACTGTGTGGAACATACTGTGAGAGGCCACTTGGGGTCTTCTCGTGACTCAGGCAGCCATTTCCTTCTAGCCCGGCCTTGGGCATTATCTTTTGATTTTAACAGAACTGGAGATTGAGCCCCACAGCCTCAAGCATGCCAGGCAAGGATTCTATGACTGAACTTTTTGAGATAGGCTCTTACTAAGTTTCCCAGACAGTCTTTGAGCTTACAGTCGTCTACCTTGGCTTCTTGAATAGCTGCAATTACAGATGTGTGCCACCAACTCAGCTCCTGTTGGTGGATGTTTGTTGTTGAGACATAGTCTTATTTTATGGACCTGGCTGGCCGAAAACTTGCTATAGAGACCCCAACCTGCTTCTGCCATCCAAGTGTTAGGGTTAAAGGTGTATGTAACTACACTAGGCTCTATTTAGATCTTAGCATCACCTAACTTGCTTTACAATGGGGGCATCTCTCCTCAGGCAAGAGGCTGTCAGCTTCATGCAAGTTGCTTATCTGTGTGGCTGTGAGGAGGCTCTGGTGAATTAGCTAGTCTCTGACATTTTCTTCTACTCTACGAATCCAAAGGTAGAAGAATAACCTGAGCCAGAATCTTGGAGTCTCTGGGGCTCAGGTCTATACGTATTGCCAGTAGAAACTATCTGGCCTCTGATGCCATCTTAATGGGCTATTGACCCATCAACCATGAGAGAAAATTCTCAGTGCAAGCCAGGACAGTTAGAATAGCCTAGTAGGCTTGTCCCTTCCTGTCTGTATATTGAGGTCTTTTGGGGCTAGCCATGTTTCCTGTGCCCAGAAGTGCAATATGATTATATCCCAGAGCCTACATAGTGTATCTATTCCCTACCACCATATATTCCAGGCTTTAAAAATACAAATTATACAAATTGCCCTAAAAGTGTACATCTTTTCTGGACTGACCCCAATACTGATCTAGACTCCCCCAAAGCAGAGCTCATTATATACAGAAACAAAAGGTCAGGAAGCAAAGTAAAACAGAGGGCATGGGAGAGGATCTTACCACTTGGAGGGGAGAACTTCTTACATCAACTCATCTCTTTTTTTCTGAAGCCCAGAGAGGAAACTGACTGCTTTGGAATGGCTCAGCCTACCCAGAACTGACAAAAACCAGGGTCAGAGGTAGGGCTGGGTAGTTTGCTCAAAGCTCCTGTCATGTCTTTTCTGGAGTTTTATTTTCTATGTATTAGGATGGGAGTGAGGACAGGAGGGCAGGGAACAAGCTGGTCCCTTGGGATTCTTGTGTTATCACTGCCCATCCCTCCTCCTGACCAGCTGGTAAACAGGACTATTTCCCAGGAAGTCAGCCAGCCCCTTAACCCTGTGAAGGGCCAGCCCCACCTCCTGGGGGCCCTGCCCTGCATATCCCAATGATTCCTTTCCTATCTCTAACCCCTGGGAAGTAGACAAGGTCAAGAGGGTTTTGCAGTTCTCCCTTGCATGCCCCAAACTCTTTCCTGCTTTGCTTGGGGAGGCAGTGGGGTGGGGCAGAGTGACCTTGGGAAGATAAGTCCAGTCAACCTTGGGAAAGTAGGGAGTGTGCAGAGGGCAGGCATGGGATGGGGGTAGGGCTGAGGAACTTAGCAGTAGGAGATGGGGAAGGCGAATTTTCAGAACCCCATACAATCAGGAGGAATTAAAGCTTGTAGGTGGTAGAAGGGGAACTGAATGACTGCAGAGAGGCCTGCTTGGCTCCTCTCATCTCAGGGGTAGAAAAAAAGTTTGAGGATATGGCACTAGGAGTCAGGAAATGATACCAGGTCAATGGGACCTGGACTCAAGGGGAGGCCTTGTGACTCATTCATTCAGAGCCGTATGTTAAGTAATCGCTGTTATTACATATCTGTATCTGTTCATCTATAATGTAGAATTCATGACATGCAAATTTTCAGAATAAACATTGCATGGATATGAATTAGGTACCTAGAAATTTCCAGGGAAGATGAAGAAGAAGGAGGAGGAAGAAGAGAAGGATGGTGAAAGGAGGAGGAAGAAGAGGAAGAGGGGGAGGAGGAGGAAGAGAAGGAGAAGGAAGAGAAGGAGGAGGAAGAAGAGGGGGAGGAGGAAGAGGAGGAGGAGGAGGAAGAGGGGGAGGAGGAAGAAGAGGAGGAAGAAGAGGGGGAGGAGGAGGAAGAGGGGAGGAGAAGGAGGAAGAAGAGGGGGAGGAGGAAGAAAAGGAAGAGAAGGAGGAGGAGGAAGAGGGGGAGGAGGAGACCTGCTCCCACAATGAGGGAGTCCGACATTATCTAGCCACCCTGAACAACCATGCTGGAAGCCACTCAAATCCAAATCCTTTTTAAATGAGGTGACTAAGTGGACAGATTTATTAATGAAGATGTTCACAGAAGGATAAGTCTGAATTCTTTCTGCAGTGCAATTTTCAGTCTAAGACTCTAGTAAAGTGGGGACAGCGTGCAGCATGAAGAAGAACCAGTGTCTCTCTTGAGAGTAGGGTAGATAGGGAGGTGGATGAACAGACAGACTGATCAGTTCCAAGGTCACTGGGCCACTGGAAACCAGTTAGGGCTGCCTCAGCCTTGGCTCACCGCTCATTACTCCCCCAGTCCCTTCTCTGGGGCTGAGCGAGGGTGAGAGCTAGTGTTGGGAGGGTCCCAAGCTCAATACAAGGGAACCTCCGCTGTACAGTTCTGCTGAGAAGGGATGCTTGAGCCCTGAACTATTTAAGTGGGGATAACAGCAACTTAATCCCCCATCCCTTGTGTGTGTGTGTGTGTGTGTGTGTGTGTGTGTCTTCCATATCTTTCTGCAAACACTTCCCCAAACACCCCATCTTCAGTGTTGAGAGTTTTACCTTAAGACCTAAATTCCTCTTGCTGCTATTTAAGACTATTGCATCTCAGGACATGCCTGGGCAGCCTGTACTTGTGGAGTAAATGGGGACAGTGGGGCGGATATGCGAGGAAGCATAACTGAAAAGTAGGCCACCCTGACCTTTCACACGCTTTTGCCAACATTTTCCTCTACATCTTATACCCCACTGCCTCCCGCCTCCCATGTGCCTCCCTGCGTCTGTCTGTCTTTCTCTGCTCTCTGCAGAAGGGGTCTGAATGGTCTCAAATTAACCTCCCTGCCCCTGCCCACGTCTCTCTTCCAGCCTGAGCTCTCAGCTGTACTCAGATAGGAGCCGTCTGGTTCAGGTGGTTCCCCCCAGG